CATGTCAGAACTCCAAGAGCAGGTGGGGTGAGCGAAAAGCTATCAGCTTTGACCCCGCTTGACTCTCCCCAGGTGACACCTCTTTTTCAGTTGCCTACAGAAGTATGTTATCTCCTTAACGGAAAGGCAGGGCCCGTTCTGGGAAAATACAACAGTTCATTTCAGCAGGGATCAGGACTGAGGGTAGAAGAGAAAGAAGTAAATGATTATCTTGTTAGATGGCTTTGTGTTTTTAAAGAAAGTGCATAACTTGATTATTACTAAGACATGACTAACAATAATGGGAACTATTAATAATAATGGAATGACAATCATGCCCTCACAGTAAGTGGATTAGAAAACCAAGCCCATCCATCTCTGCCTTTTGTGCTGTGGGTGCCCTCTCTGGACTGAGAGGCAGTCATTAGAGTCTAAAGATAAATCCTGGAGCTTCTATTGGCCAGAAAGGTGATCTTAACAATAGGATTTCAGTGGGAAGACAACATGAAGAGGCAGAAAAGGATCTTCCTGAGACTTAAGTCTAGGAAGGAGACTGAAAAGGGTTTTCTGAAAAGCAAGGTTTTTCCTTATCAGAGATGGACGTGCTGATTAGCTAGAGTCTTTTTTTAAAAAAGCATCCTTTAGCTGCATCAGTTTCCCCAAACCTGCTTGCCCAAAGAGATCTATCCATGTTGTAGTAGCAACCTGTCAGGTTTTGAAAGGTGATCATATAATCAGTTTATTCGGATTACTTTCTGGTCACCTGAGTTCAATGGGTTGTATCTGTCTTTTACCCCAAGTGGTATAAGTGGTATGTAGGTATCACCCACCTCCTGGGCCATAGCAATAACACTGCACAGATAAGATAAAGTCTCCAACATGGAGAATGAGACCTGGACCAGGAAACAAGTCACTGGTCATTTATTTGTGTGTGTGATCAGATAACCACATTGTATGAGCAAGAAAACCTAAGAGGATCTGGTGTTATCATCAGGTAAAACTTGGATCAAAGTTCAATGATAAGCATAATCCTCATCTTTCAAAGTGACTAATCCTGAATGCCAAATAGCTCACTATCTAATCTAATTGATATTCTTTTTTATGCCAGAAAAGTTTTTTTTAATTGGGGAATTTTTAAAAAGAGGACTTACTGGGGCAGGAAACTGCAAAATAGAATTTAAATGGTTAGAGAGGAATGTCTCTAGGGGCAGGGTTAAGAAAGAGATGTCTGAAGGGTAGTCAGAGAAGGGAAGAATCCAAACAGATGGGGTGCAGGTGCCAAGGCGGACGTTTCAGGTAGAACGTGAAAGGCAGTCAGTCCAGGGGTACGGCGTGCAAATGTCCCAGTACAGCCATCCTCTGGGGCTGTGTCTCCTGGAGCTGTGCAGAGACACCTGATTTGTTCAGCACGTATTCTTCGAGTGTCCACAGCGTTGCCATTGGTCCAGATGGTGGGGACCTGGGGGTGATGACCAATTGCAGGTTGAGGAGTCAGCAGCCTGTAAGAGGGGGTGTTGGTGAAGCTGGGAGGGGAAAGGTAGAGGTGGATGGGTAGACGGGCAAAGGGAGTACTCTTATTTCAGGGACAGGGCGAACCCAGCTCATTCACAGCCAGCAGAGGAGACACTGAAGATTCAAGAAGAGGACGTGAAGGAGACAGGAGGATACAGGCTCGAGATTTTTGGGAAGGAGAAAAGAATCCTATTTGGAAGAGAAGTAAAGGAAGTGAGAAAGAGGTACTATCTGGAAAGACTCTCAGTTGGGGAGGCGGGGTGTGAGGTTTGACAAAAGCCTGCCAAGAGGTGGGGGAGTGAGAGCTCCTAAGCAAGGCCTGAAAGGAAGGGAGGCCCCTGTGGGCAGAACAGAGCTGCCACTCAACAGTGAGGGCTGTGGCAAGGTCCCCAAGGAGGCAGAAAGGTGGCCGTTGAAGCAGGCGGCCAGGACTACATGTCATACAAAAGGGGGCTGGAATACTTCAGGCCACCTGCGAGGCAGCTTAGCAAGACGCTGGCCGTGAGTCCCTGTGTTCCTTCAGACCCTCTCTTTGGGCTTCGCCTCCCCTTGTCCTTGAGTCTCACATAGCATCTTTGTTATCTAGACAGTCAGAAATGGCAAACTTTTAGGAAATAAGGCAAAGCTGGAAGGGACTTCATACACTGTTGTTGAACCTTATTTTATAGATGAGGAAACTGAGGATCAGAGAGAAGTGACTTGCTTGAGGTGACACAGCAAACAAGCTGCTAAACCACAATCAGAAGACCCCTGGGGTCTTGCCTTGTGTCCTGAAGCACCTGGCCCTCTGCCCAATAACCTACAGCTTACTTAACTTTCTGCGCACCCACACAACACCATGCACACCCACACACCATGCGCGCCCACACAACACCATGCACACCCACACAACACCATGCACACCCACACACCATGCGCACCCACACAACACCATGCGCACCCGCACAACACCATGCGCACCCGCACAACACCATGCGCACCCGCACACCATGCGCACCCGCACAACACCATGCGCACCCGCACAACACCATGCGCACCCACACAACACCATGCGCACCCACACAACACCATGTGCACCCCACACCATGGGCACCTGCACAACACCATGCGCACCCGCACAACACCATGCGCACCCACACAACACCATGCGCACCCACACAACACCATGTGCACCCACACACCATGCGCACCCACACACCATGCGCACCCACACAACACCATGCGCACCCACACACCATGCGCACCCACACAACACCATGTGCACCCACACACCATGCGCACCCTCACAACACCATGCGCACCCACACACCATGCACACCCACACAACACCATGCACACCCACACAACACCATGCACACCCACACAACACCATGCGCACCTACACACCATGCGCACCCACACAACACCATGCGCACCCACACAACACCATGCGCACCCCACACCATGGGCACCTGCACAACACCATGCGCACCCGCACAACACCATGCGCACCCTCACAACACCATGTGCACCCACACACCATGCGCACCCGCACAACACCATGCGCACCCACGCAACACCATGCGCACCCACACACCATGGGCACCCACACAACACCATGCGCACCCACACAACACCATGCGCACCCACATACCATGGGCACCCACACAACACCATGCGCACCCACACAACACCATGCGCACCCACACAACACCATGCGCACCCACACACCATGCGCATCCACACAACACCATGCACACCCACACAACACCATGCACACCCACACAACACCATGCACACCCACACAACACCATGCGCACCCACACACCATGCGCACCCACACAACACCATGCACACCCACACAACACCATGCACACCCACACAACACCATGCACACCCACACAACACCATGCACACCCACACAACACCATGCGCACCTACACAACACCATGCGCACCCACACAACACCATGCGCACCCACACAACACCATGCGCACCCCACACCATGGGCACCCGCACAACACCATGCGCACCCGCACAACACCATGCGCACCCGCACAACACCATGCGCACCCTCACAACACCATGTGCACCCGCACACCATGCGCACCCGCACAACACCATGCGCACCCATGCAACACCATGCGCACCCACATACCATGGGCACCCACACAACACCATGCGCACCCACACAACACCATGCGCACCCCACACCATGGGCACCTGCACAACACCATGCGCACCCGCACAACACCATGCGCACCCTCACAACACCATGTGCACCCGCACACCATGCGCACCCGCACAACACCATGCGCACCCACGCAACACCATGCGCACCCACACACCATGCGCACCCACACAACACCATGCGCACCCACACACCACCATGCGCACCCACATACCATGGGCACCCACACAACACCATGCGCACCCACACAACACCATGCGCACCCACACACCATGCACACCCACACAACACCATGCACACCCACACACCATGCACACCCATTCAACACCATGCGCACCCACACACCATGCGCACCCACACACCACCATGCGCACCCACACACCATGCACACCCACACAACACCACGCGTGCCCACGCACCACCAAGTGGCCCACACACCACCAAGCATGAGCCCCTTGTGGAAGTTAATCATTAAAGCCTAGTCTGTTCAAAAGCTTTTAACCATAGTTACTAATTAAGCCAGTTTCTGTGAGAAAAGACATTTCAAATACAAAAGTGTTCTCTTAAGCTAAATCTATAGGCCGTCAAATTGTAGTAGCATAAACTGTACGATTATATTTCAAGTATACTTGAAAATATTTCATAATGTAATGCATCAACCTCTGTAGCCTTGGATGTTCTCTTCATTGCAGGCCTCGTGCTGGGCCCTGATAAAATGGTTTTATAACTTTGGTGGGGAGGAGGGCGGAATTTAACTAAAATAACTTCACTTAGTGTTGGAGTGAACAAGGTAATAAAATCTGTTTGCTGTGTCCGCTGTCTCCAGATAGGGTTGTAATTACACCGCATGAGGAAGAAAGGTAGCTGAGTCTCAATCTAGACCATTTATGTAAACTCAGCCTCCTTGTCAACGGTGTTCTCATATTACACGCACGCAAACCGCACAAATCTCTCGGAGCCCCACAGAGACAGTGTCCACTTGCAGGCCTGTGAGCTGGCTTATATTCTTTCTGAAACTGGTGTGTGTGGTTCAAAACCAAAAACTGACATTCTGAGGTTTAAAAAATGTATTGCCAATGAATTCCCCAGGGCAACAATTACATAGATATGAAACATGTAAAAATTAAAGGTATCCTTTACGCCAAAGTATTACACAAAAATGCATTTTGCTTGAAAAAAGTATCTTGTTCAGCTTTTTAAAAAAGTTTCGTTCTTTAAAATGAGTTTGAAAAGAAAACTGGTCTTTAAGGAAGAAAAACAGGCAATTCCTACTACAACCAAGTTAACATTTGATAACATTTTAATCTCTTAATTCAAATATTTGGCATTTTCCCCCAGCAATTCCCCTCCAAATCATACAAAAACCATGAAGCGCAAAGTATATTTCTACTGTATCTATAAATACAGAGACATTATTGCCAGGTGACAAAGCATAGTTTTTTCCTCTGTTATGACAAATTGGTCACTGGTTTTTAACCCGAAGGTCCCCCCCGGCTGGCGCTGGTCGTGTTTCTCTCGACACCTGCAGCTCCCAGCGTGCTCTGTCCTCTCTGCAAGGAAAACCACAGGCCACCGCCCTGGCGCCATCCGCGGCTCGGTCCAATCAATAAGGACTTATTTCCTGTCCATTTGCTGAGGTCACAGGAGCGAACCTCATTAATTATTTCTGCTACTGCAGCCTCAAGTGTGCTTCTGACGTGACAAGTGAAAACGGCTTGACCTTTTTTCGTCTAATTTTGTTTGTAGCAGTTCCAAAAAGAAGGCAGTATTCATTTAGCGATGTGATAAAAGGAAAAAAAAAAAAAGTGTATGTTTTTCAAGTCATTAGCAAATTTAGATATTTCATTATGAAAGCTCCCCGGATCACCTCATTCCTGTATTTTCAGCTAATGAACAATAGTGTCTTTTTTATTTGGTGTCACGAAAATCTGGTCACAGCAAACACAATGTTTTCTAAAGCAGATCTGGCCTCGGAGGGAGGGAAGCTCTCCAGGGCTCCCAGTGCCTTGTTTCCATGGTAACGACACAGGTCAATAGCTGAAGTCACACCTTTGCCAGCTTTGATTGTTTCTCGCAACTGTTAAGAAACAAATGCACAATAAAAGTCAGTTTTTAAGGTACCACAACTAAATTGGGGAAGGGAGGTGGAAAACAAAGCAGAGGACAACCAGTCTAGATTGCGTTTCTGCTACAGCCTTCTGGGGTAAAGAGGACACGGTTCCCCGGGGTTCCCCGGGATCTCGAGGCGCTCACGTTCCCCGCGGCTGCCCTGTGAGTGCGCCCGGAGGAGCACGCAGGCTGCGACCCCCTGATACACCTCCCGCCCCGACATCTTGAAATGCGCCCCACTGGGGTGGCGGGACTAAGGTGGAGGCACCCAATCCCGGGCATTCTGAAGGCAGCAGCCTGATTTTCTCGAGGGAGGAAGGCGTCATCAACACCCCGGTGTATAACTCATTTCTTCTATACTGTATGTTGACACAACAGTCCATATGAAAATTCAAGAAAGATACCACATTAAAAAAAAATGAACACTACATTTTTAAAACTAAAAGACTTTATTTGGGAAGAATGAATTTTAAACACCCTTTGTAAAGACTAAAGGTAAACTCTTGATAATAAACAGAACTGATTTCCAATAAAATGGTTACACTTTAGGACTGAAAAAGAGTTGGTCTGTCCGCCTTACCATTGCCCCGATTCCATCTTCTCTTTCTCAGTGACTACCTCAAATGTCCGCCTAAACCCCTGGTCAGAAATCTGGGAGTCCTCCTCCATCCCTCATATCCAGTCAGGCACCATGGAGCACCAGAGTTGTTTACCCATGGCTGCACTTTCTGGGTCCCAAAGACTGGGTGGGGCCAAGTGACAAGTTCCAGTCCATGTGAACGATGCGTGTCACTGTGGGCTGCAGCATGTAATTGTCCATGTGAGTCCCTCCAGAGCTTCCCCTATGGCACATCCACAGCCACACTGGAGGCGCCCCTCAGCCTGGATCCCAGAGGGACCACCATGACCCCTCCGCCTCGTGCCTCTCCCACCAGAGCAGGACATGCATCGTGGGCGAGAAACACATCTCTGTTGCTTGAAGCCCCAGAGATTATGAAGGTGTCTGTAGCCCTCTTGACTGATACCGTCACTAAGTCCTAGCCATTCTGTCTCCTTTAAAGCTCTCAACTTTATCCTCTGTTCTTTATTCCCATTGACACTACGACAGCTCAGGCTCTTATCATGCTTCACCTGGGCTATTTTTTTTTTTTTTATCCTCACCCGAGGACATTTTTTGTTCAGATAGAGTGGGAGGGAGAGAGAGAGAGAGAAACATCGATGTGAAAGGGACACATTGAGTGGCTGCCTCCCACACGACCCAACCAGGGCCAGGGACAAACTGCAACCGAGGTACGTGCCCTTAGTGGGAACAGAACCCGGGTCTCTCTGGACCACAGGCCGATGCTCTAACCGCTGAGCCAAACCGGCCAGGGCTTCACCTGGGCTATTTTTCACAATCACCTCCTAAAGAGTCTTCCACCACCAGTAAAGAGTCTTCCCACCGCCAGTTCTGCGCCCCCGGAACACATCAGTTTCCCCCTTTCGTCATGTATTTAGGGAAACTACTTGTAGATCTCATCTCCTCTGAGACTCTCTTCATCTCTGCACCCAGCCCCCAATCCCACCTGGCTGGATTGCACTCAGCTAGGATGACAGCCTGCGGGGCTAGCTGCAACTCTTCCCAGGCACGGCTGTGGGGCCCTCTGCAGCTGCAGGACAGCGTTACCCTGCAGCGTGGTAATTCTGCATTCATCCATCTCTCTCTTCATTAGACGTTAAGCTACTGCATAATTCATGAAATATATAGGAGTAAAAGAAATAACCTGTTTTATTCCTCTAACTATAAGAGACGACAGAACAGAGGTCCTGGGAAGCTCAGTGGCTCAACCTGGATCATAGATGGGGATAGTGGCAAAGCTGAGATGACAAGCCAGGTTTTTCTTTTTCTTTATTGGTTTTAGGGAGAGAGATGAAAAGGGAGGAGGGGAGAAAAGAGAGGGAGAGAAAAACATCACTTTGTTGTTCCACCTATTTATGCATCCATTGGGTGATTTTTGTATGTGCCCTGACATATCAGGATGACGCCCCAACCAACTGAGCTACCTGGCCAGGACCCAGAGGCCAGGTTTCTCTAACACCCAGCCCGACAGCACTTAATAGTATGCTCCACCAGACTCTCAAGCACTCCACGGATATTTCCACCCTGCATGTGAACATGGGGACTCTTGCAGCCTAGGGTTCCCTGGTCTCTTGCCAATCACTGAATGCATGAAGACACTAAAATGGGGCCGGGCATCAGAGGCAGCCAGATGTAAACTCCCATTCTAGCTGTGTAATCTTAGGAAAGCCATTTAACTGCTCTGAGTTCTAAATGGAGAAAACATCAGTCCCTTGAAGACCGGCTGGGAGGACCACACGAGACAGCAGAGTGCTTGACTGTGCTAAAACACTACAGAAGTTCCCAACGGCTTAATGCTTCTTCCTCCCCAAGTCCTTAGCCACTGGCCCATTTTCATCAAGTTGTGCAGGAACGAAACCATGCCCATCCGTGGAAGTACTGTCTGGCGGCTTTTGTGCTGCAATGGCGGAGCCGAGGAGCTGCCAGGGAGACTGCTTGGTCTGCAAACCCTCACATGTTTGCACTCTGGCTTTTGTAGAAAAAACTCTGCTGGCTCCTAGACTAAATCAATAAATATCTTCTACCTAGGTTCAACAATAGTTAATATTTTGCCATTTTTATTCTGTGTGTGTGTGTGTGTTCTGAACCATTTGAAAATAAACTGGGGGCAGAAGCATGCTGCTAAATTAGCTCTCCAGGGGAGGAAAAGCTCTATTTGTAACATCTGCAGAATTTTGTGGTATGAATCCTCCCATCATGGAGTTTCAAGCTACCAAGCGTTGTGGGCTCACAAAATCCTGGAATATTTAACAATAGGCTCCAAGCTGGTAGGACCTGCCTTGGACACACCACGAACACAGATGCTCGCCCTTGTTTTGATATGCATCTCCTAAAATAAGAACTCCCCTGACGTAACCAGTTTACCATTACCACAGCTAGAAACGGTTCTCAGCAATTCTCTAATACTATCTAGTATCTACTCCATGTGCAGATTTCCCCAATTGGCTCTAAAATGTCTTTTTTAGCTTTTAAAATTCCAGCCATGATCAATCCTGGTTTACATACTGCATTAGTTTGCTATGACACTTTCATCTTTCTTCCCCCTATGACATTTCTCTCTCTTTTTTTTTTTGGACATTGCTATTTTGAAAGGACCAGGCTGTGTTGTACAGTGTTCTACATTTTGTATTTCTCTGACCGTTTCATTCGGTTTGGTCTTCTATTAACCTCATTCAGGTAGGCTCACCTGAATAAAGGTGGCTCATGGGGCTGTAACCCTACAGTGAGGGGTAATTCAGACTGGGACAAGAAAACACCCAGGAAGGCATCACTGAAAGTTACTCACATCCTAAGAGTTCACTTCTCTCATCCAATGACGATTTTACTTCCAGTTAATAGCTGAATCTGCTCTCTCCACAGAGGTGGGCTCACAGGGCTTTTTATACCAAGGGACCTGCTAGAGTCCAGGTGTAAAATGCCCATTTAATGACTCACCAGTAATCTAATCTTTCATGCAGGTATTGTTCCTCACAGTCATCTGTAAACACCTCCATCAACTACACAAACTACTGGCTCAAAGGAAATCCTTTAGATATAATTAATAGTCTATAAATAAGATTCATTTTATATTGTAAATTAAAATAGGCAATGGGTTTATTCTGGCACAACAACCTTGTCCTATTTATATAACTATGACAAACAAACAAACAAAAACATTAGCTGGGGTTCCCAAACTTGGCTGACCATAAAATTCACCTGGGGAATTTTAAAATGCAGATGCTTAGGCCCCATTCCTAGAGATGGAGTCAATATGATCTTAAATAAATGGTTCTTAGGTTATTCCAATGACTAGCCAGATGGAGGAGCACCTCACTAGCTGGGGCATGCATTTTGAGTTACTTTATTTTGTATTGGGTTTATACTGTTTCAGCTACACTTCCAACTGGATGTCTTTGCAATGATCTAATTCAATTCAACAAGCATTTGTTGGGCACCTATGTGGCCTAGGTATACTGCAGGGGCTGGAGATACAGAAACACTGCCTCTCAGGACCACCTGTAAGAGGGGCTGTTATAGGGCTACAGGACCAGAAAGGATTAAACAGAACACAGAGGGATTGGACCTATAACCTTAGTTCTAATAGCTGCAAGAGAAAAGACCATAATTAAAAACATCCTGCCACTTTTGCCTTCACCTACATTTTGACTGGGCAAAGGCCAAATTAATACAGAGACAGACTTTCCATATTAGGATGTGGCTAGAGAGCTAGTGTGTCCTCACTCACCCTTATGACTTGAAAAACACTTTAGCTGATAAATAACACACATACACACACACCCCCCAAAGGTGAATTATTAGTCTGTGTTTTACTTCCCTGATATAGCACTTTAGGGCACTAATATAATTAAATCTCCAATTAATTCCACTGAGTAATTGTATAATTGTGGCATCACCTGAAATAAATTAAGTCCAATCCCCTGCTAGAATATCCTATTAAAGACATTAACACAGAAGAGGATGTGAAGTACTTAAAGTTAAGTGCACTATTACTTAACATTTGTTAAAAGGTGTTACTAAACACCTTTTCAGCAATAAATGTTGCTTTACGAGATCCTTTTGAGAAAATCATTATATGTCTCTAAAAACCATTTGCTTCAAAAGCACAAGCCCCTGCCATGGGGTCTAAGTACCTTCAGGAGAAGTGGAGACAGAAGTCACTTCTGTCCAATGAAACGAGAAAGAGTTTAAGACCTAGAAGAAACCCCAAGCACAGTCTTGTCTTCTCACTTCATTTTGCAGGAGATACTGAGATGAGAGAGACTGCACATGGAATTTGTGAAACAGACTGGTTTCATTTCTCACATCCAGGGCTCTTCCACTCGGTAGCACTGGAAAAGATTAGGTCACCC